TATACATTCTATGTAATATATTTATATATGTATATATTAAGGTATAAATGTAATCTATGTTCATTCAAAACTTAGTATTTAGTGGCTGTACAACTTTGCAAAACTAAATGGACATTCCATAAATACATCATTGTCAAAAAACCATAAATCAATATCATCAATCTTACTGGCTGCAAGAAGTTGTAACAACTGAGTATATTGTAATTGATTCTGAAAATGCCCAGGTCACTCCTATAACAGAACTGAGATGAACAGAATTGTGTATGCACTGTATGGAAGGGCTTCTCTCCAACTAATTCCTTAGGAAGAATTCCTAGAAGGTAGGAGTTGCCATGGGTTGGGAGTGTACCTCAATGGTTTGCTGCTTGCCTAGCATGAGCAAGGCCTGGGTTAGATCCCTGGAAATTTAAAAAAAAAAAAAAAGGAGGGAAGGACAGAAATACATACTGCCAGATTGCCCTTTAAAAACAGAGTCCACGAAAACATCCAGTTCCTCATACCTTAAACAAAATTTAATGTTTTTGATCTTTTACATCTTGGATAACCTAGTGCAAGATGACAGCTCATTAATCTTTTTCAATTTTTCATTTCCTTCACTGTTAGGGTTGTGACTATGCATTTAATGGCCTTTGTATTTCTTTCCTGAACTATCTATGTTCTTTGATCACTTTTATACCATTTTCTAATCAATGTGCAAGATCTTTACCTTCCGCCTGGCAGCATTTTCCCGAGTCTGTTTCATGTGTGCCTAAGTGTTTGTTCTGTTTCCTTGAATTACACTATGTTGTACTCTTGCTTTGGTTTCTCCGCTTGGTACTTTTGCAGTGGGCCTTCACGGGGGCTGTGTTTTCTCTCTGCTACACGCTATATGTCGTATGTTTCTGGAATATTGAAAGAACCAGAGCCATCCCTGGTGGTAATTTGATCATTAAAAAAAGATACATAATTATTAGTCAATTAAATTTGTCAGTTCTTTATTAAAATTTTAATTTTCATTATTTTTTAGCTAAAATAATTTAAGTTTTAATTAAGTGTTTATTGAAAGTTCTTTACTCATATTTTAAAATTAGTAATGTTCACTTGGGTACAAAAGTGAAATTCAAAAAGAAAGATGGTGAAAAGTGTTTCCTTGTCCTCTCTCTCCAACCATGTACTTCCTCTTCCCAGTAAAAATAAGCATAATATTTTAAAAAAGGTCTTTATCTAAAAATAATTACAGCCTTCCAACACTTTTACCTTTCTTTTTAAAGACATATCTTGGAGATCATGTCTTATCTCATACATACAGAGCTACTTCATTCTCTAAGGGCTGTGCGACCTCCCATTGTATGGAACTTACAGTTTTCTCATTTTTGAGGGAAATTAAAATTATTTGTAATGTTTAATATTATAATAACTTTTCCTATACTTGTCAATCAAATCTAAGAGCTGTTTCTTTTTTAAAAGCAAGTCTAGCCTACTTATAATAAATAGCATGACATAAGCTTGATGACTTAATTTTTCCATCACATTTATATTATAAATTCTATTTTTATTGCTTCTTCTAATTTTTTGAAATGTTAAAATATAATTATTAATGTATTAGCTGTACAAATTAAGGGATTTGACTGTAATGTTTGCATGCACGCACGTGTCCTGGTTCAGTCTTATCCACCTTTCTAGCTACCCACTCTTCTCCCCCAGAACCTTGTTTTCTTTCCTACATTCAGTTCATCTTTTTTTTCCCCCCTCCTAGTTTCCACACAGGAGAGGAAACATGCAATATTTGTCTTTCTGTGTCTGGCTTATTTCACTTATGATGCCCTCCAGTTGCACTGATGATGTGTGGAAATGACATTACTTTACTCTTCTTTATGGCTAAATACTATCCCACTGAGTACATATGTAACTGAGAGGTTAAAGGGAATCTTTAAAAACTAAGATTTTTGAAAAGCTAAACTGTTTCCCCAAGCTTCCTCATGGTGAGAGTGTAAATCACCTCTCCTGTACAGACACACACACACACACACACACACACACGCATGCGCACACACTGAGGGAGATTCATTTTCAGAGTGCTCAACACTTCCCTTTGGGCCAAAGCTCTGCCGAATCTACATCTGAGCACTTCCTGGCTTTTCCTCTCCCCTTCTACAACTAGGTGTGCTTCTGCGAGTGGAAAGTGGGGTGAACCAATCTCCCCTACCAACTTGGCCAAGTTATAAATAAATTTCCTCATAGCACTGAACCAAGCCACTGAGGTCAATTCGGTTCTCATTCAATTCGGCTTGCGACCAGAATCGTGGAGAGAATTGCATTTGTGAATGGAGGCACCACTGCCCTGTCCTCTTTACTCATTCGTCTGTGAATAGCTCTTTTGGCTCACCCTGGGTATTTCAAGCAGTGCCAAACCAATCATGGGGCAGCAGGTAGGTATCGCTTCTGCACACTGACTTCACTCTTTCGGATGTGTGCTCAGGGTGTGAGAGCTGGATCATATGGTAGTTCTATTTTCAGGTTTTTGAGAAAACTCTGGAGTGCTTTCTGCATTGGTTGTACTGATTCACATCCCACCGACTATGGAGAAGGCTCCTTTCCCCCAGATTGTCTCCAGGATTTCTTATTGTTTTGATAATAATCATTCTGAATGTTTTGCATCTACTACATGTGTGTGTCGACTTTGTTCTAGTGTGTGTATGTGTTTCTCCTGATGACGCGAACGGTTTTACTTTTTGGCTGAGTGGTTTTCTTTATAACTGCAAACTTTAGTTAATAGGACTGTAAAAATTGAAGTAAAAAATGTGATCTGTGTAATTTCTACTCTTTGTAATTATTGACACTTTCCTTGTGATTTTGTACATAACCAATTTCCTTTCTTTCTTTCTTTCTTTCTTTCTTTCTTTCTTTCTTTCTTTCTTTCTTTCTATCTTTCTTTCTTTGAGACAGGGTCTCACTATGTAATTCAGGCTGCCCTTGAACTCACCATGTAGTCCAGGCTGGCTTCGAACTCATGGCAATCCTCCTGCCTCAGCCTCGCAAGTGCTTGGATTACAGGCCTGCACCACCACGCCTGGCTATAACCAATTTTCTACAAGTGTTCTATGCTCCATGCAGTGGTCTTAAACGTATGTGTTTTTTGTGTGTCCATAAATTCCTCGATGCTCCTCCACTGAAGGGGGAGATTTAATTCCCCTCCCTTGAAGTGGGGGCTGGAGGTAGTGACTCAGTTCTGAGGAACAGACACACAGCAGAGGTGATGGTGAGCGACTGCAGAAAGTGGGTCACATAATGAAAGCACCCCAGTGCCCACTGTGGCTGTGGGTTCCTTTTCCTTCTGCTGTGAGTCCACCCTCCGTGGGTCCCTTTTCTTGCTGCATCGCAAGGGCATTTTCAAAAGCAGGTCCCAGTCTGGTGACCCCTGTTTGGGCACTGGCTAAGGTCTTGTTTGCAACCTCCTGAGACCCAGAGTCAAAACCACCTTGCTAAGCTGCTCTCATGGGAGTCCCTGACCCTCAGAAATGGTGTGAAATAATGAATGTTTGCTGTTTTAACTCCTGGGGCAATATTTTCCATAACTGCTACACACTATCTTTCCTATCGAGTTCTATTTTATCTGAGTTAATATTGCTACTCTTGATTTATTTGTGTTCATTTGTTAACTATATTTGCGTTCATCCTTTTAGTTTTAACTGCTTGTTTTAACTGTCTTTTATTTTAGATACATCCATAGTAAAATATTAAGCATAGATGTATTGGGTGATTTATTTACTTATGTACTTATTTACTTATTTGTTTACTTACTTATGGCACTGGGGATTGAACCCAGGCCTTCACACTGAGCTACATCCCTAGCCTTTTTTGTTTTTGAGACGAAGTCTCACTAAATCCCTAAGTTGCCCAAGCTGGGAGTGACCTTGCAATCCTTCCACCTCAGCCCCCCAGAGTGCTGCAAGTACAGATGTGCACAGCTCAAATGTTATTTTTAACAGAAAAATAAAAAACTTATTTTTTTACCCTCAATATTTGTGTGTTTTACACTTTTTTCTTTCATCCCCTTCCTTTTTCTTTTGCATTTTTTCTTTAGAAATTTAGAAGGAACCTATATTAACTCCAGTTTTAGTGGTTGTTACCTTTAATTTATTATAAAACTTACACTAACTCTTGCCAACTTTTTTGAAATTACCATTTAGATTAACACCTGTGAGAGATATTATAAGACCATATAATTATAGACCAATTTCATTCATAACTGAAGAGCCTATACAAAAGTACTAAACACACAGTGAATCAAATTTTGAAGTACATAAAAATAGTATAGATAGATATCTTACAAACTGGTTGAGTTTATTTCAGGGTTTCTTTCAGACATTACCTTTAAAACTCTAAAATCAATTATTTCCTCACATTAACAAGAGGAAAAATAAAGTCATTTCATCTTATGCAGAAAAATTATCTGATAAAATTCAAAACACATTTAAGACTAGGAACAGAAAGTTCCCTAGTTTGGTTGACAATGCACAAAAGACTTCAATGAAACAGTACATGTAATGGTGAAATGTTAAAAACATTTTCCTTGAAATTAGGAACAAAATGAGGATGTTCAATACTCAATTCTATTCATGAGCTTCTTGGAGGGCCTAGCCAATAGAAAAAGGCAAGGATAAAATAAATGGTTTAAGGATTAAAAAATAAAACTATCATTATTTGAAGAAGGTACAGCTCTTTATGAAAGTAAATTAAAACAATATATATATATATATAATCTATTATTAGTAGCAAGAAACTAGAATGTGAAATTCAACAAGACTGTTTCTAATTTCAATTTTTTTTTTTTTTTTTGGTACCAGGGATCGAGCTCAGGACCTTGTGCTTTCGAGGCAGGCAGTGGAACCACTGAGCTAAATCCCCGGCCCTGTTTCTAAAACAGTAAAAATTAAATATTGAGGAATAGATGTAACAAAATATTTGCAAAACATTTTTTTTTGAAAATTTTAAATACCTAAATAAATAAGACCTAAATAAATGAGAGAAATACTGTGTTCATGGATTGTAATACTCAATATTGCTAAGATGCCATTTTGCCCGCTGATTGGTGCACAGATGCACCATAACCTGTCAAAATTCTATATAATTTACAAAAATTGCATCAGGTAGATGTAGATTAAAATTTGAAAGGAAAATAATAATGTTCTTAGAAGATAAAATAAATATTTTCATGGCTTTTGTGTAGGGAAATAAACAAGGCACACACACAAAAACTAATGGTAATGATAAAATTGATAAAATTGACCAAATGACAATTTAAAAATTCTGTTTACCCTAAGAAGCCAGGAAGAAAGTAATGATGCAAGCCACAGTGGGGGAAAATATTTGTAATACATATAATTTGACCGAGGCCTTGAATTCAGAACACATGATTAAATAAAAATGGATTCCAGTACAGTTCTTTGCCCTAATCCCAGAGCAAAAAAAGAGAGAAAAGAAATATTTTCATTTACTATATATATTATTTCCCATTGTGAGAGCCAGAAACTGAGAGCAAAAGGATTAGGAGGGAGCCAGGGGTTAGCTTTTTAATAAAAAATAGTCAAAGTAAATGACACAATATTGTAAAATAAGGACCATAGCAACATCCTCACTTTCATTCAAAATCTCTTGTTCATGTTCATGTTCATTCTTCAACGTCTCTACTTCAGCATTGTGCTTCCTATAATTTAAGGCTTTTGCTATCCCTGGGGTTGCACCTTAGAAATGCTGCTTTCACATTCAGCTCTCCCCTGAGCTGTTGTTGATCATTGTCACCATGGTGTGTGTTGAGAAACGGGTGAGATGACTGTTTGCTGAATGGAGGAAGGTCCCTGGGAAGAGACAACAGTGTGCCCTGGGAATTAAAGACATGATTGGAGCTGGACAGAGAGTGAGAGGCGGAGGAGCACACTCTGGGCATGAGGAATGGCCAGTGTGTGCCAGGTGGGTGGCAGGAAGTGGGGTAGCACCTGTAGGGAGCTCAGTATTTTGCTGCAGCCAGGAAGTGGTTCAGTATGTAGGGTAGGTGTGCCGTTAAAGCCATGTGTCAGTCTCACTGAGCTAAGGACTGCCGGGATAGCTGGTAATATTATTTCTGGGTGTGTCTGTGATGGGTGTTTCCACTTGAACTGGTAGACTAGGATGTTTGGCCCTCATCAATGTGTGCTGAGGGCCCAGATTAAACAAAAATGTAGAGAAAGTTAATTTATCATCTCCTCTCCTTCTTCCCCCTCCTTTTTTTCTCCTTCTCCCTCTCTCTCCTTCTCCTTCTTCTTGACAGGGTCTTGCTATGTAGGCCAGGCTGGCCTTGAGCTCAAATCCTCCTGCCTCGGCCTCCAAGTGCTGAGATTACAGGTGTGCACCACCACACCTGGCTTCTTGTCTCTCCTTGAGCTGGGACATCCATCTTCTCCTATCCATGTGCACCAGGGCTCCTGGCTCTCAGGCCCAGGACTTACACCAGAGATCCCCTTGGTTCTCAGGCCTTTGAGTCAGAGTAGGAGTCACAATATCAGCTTTCCTGGTTTTCAGCCTTCACATTCAGACCAATATATATCACTAGATTCCATGGTCTTCCAGTTTGCATACAGCAGATTGTGGGACTTCTTGTCTCCATAATCTTGTAGCCCGTTCTCATAATCGATCTCATATCTATGTCTACGTCTACTCTCTCTCTATATATCTGTATGTGCAACTGTGTCTGTAACCACACTCATACCCCTGGCTGGATGGTACTGGTTCTGCTTCTCTGGAGTCCCTGAGTAGCTCAGTGCATCCATATATGTGTGGCAGGGGTGAGGGCCAAAGACAGAGTGGTGCCCAAGAGAACCTTAGGGCTGTGCTGAGAGATGCAGACATTTTTCTGTAGTGCTGGGGAGCTACTGAAGGTTTTAAAGAAGGGTTCAGGTATGATCAGAAGTAGGCTTCCCATCTTTCTCTCCCCCCAACCCCAGTGCAGTGGTGTTATTCTCTGTCTGAGGAAGGTCGTGATAATGGCCTGACTCCCACAGCCATGGTGCTTGTTACCAAAGACCTGCAGTGGTTTGTGGTCCCTGGAGTACCAGCCCAGGAGCATCCTTCGGGGGATGAAAACATTGTTGGAGCCCTCAGAGCCTCAGCCTACCAGAGTGATGTCATGCTGCTGTGACCTGTGTCTTTCTGGCCCAGGAACCACACTCATCCCTAGTGAGCTCATCCCTGGGCAGAGAGGGCATGGCCCCAGCTGGGGAAAACCAGGCAGTGCACAGAGATTAGTGGCTTTGTTTTGCTTCGCTTCCAGATCACCTCTGGTGGGAATGGTGAAGGTCACAGTGGCATCAGGCCCCACTGGTCCAAGGTGGTGGACTGGACCCGAGTTTCTCTGTGGAAACACCACACAAGTGATCTAAAGTAATAAACCCACAACAGCAAAGTGCAGTTGGCCTCTGTACCCATATTCCACATCGATGGATTGAAACAAACATGGATTAAAAATATTTTTTAAAAAATTTCAAAAGTTCCCCAAACCAAAAGTTGAATTTGCCATGAGCTGACTATTATAATGAATCAGTGCAAATGAAGAGTTATGTAGGCATTGAATGAGAATTATAAGTAATCGCAAAATGATTTAAGGTACACAGGCGGATGGGCAAATGTCATATGCAAATACCACAGCATTTTATATAAGGGACTGGAGCATTGTGGATGCTGGTAGCTATGGGAATCCTGGATCAATTCCCCATGGATAACGGGGGACAACTCTAAACAGGACCATAACAAGGAAGATATTTGATGACCTCTTTTCCTGATTGCGGTGCACTCTGAAATCAGTTTTCACAATACCCCCCAGAAACAAACTCCTTTATGAGTTTGATCCCTTTGAGGACAATGGACTCCTCCACATATCCTCCCTCAGCGTCCATGAGGTGGACCTTAAGTTAGGAAGGTCTGGGTCAACAGCTCATCTGGGGAGTAGTTATCCACAGCTCAAAACACAGCATCATAAAGTAGAAGTTTGCTTCATTGCCTTGGAATGAATCCTTCTTTTGCCTCTATCTTGAGTTCTTTGCTTCACTCTTCCTGGGGTATTTTCTACATACTGGGCTCAGAGCCTGCTGGGTTGATCCCCAACCCTTGCCCATGAGTTTCTGCTGCAGGGCACCACCCAGTCCAAGAACAGAAGTGACAGGGCAGCCACCCTCTTCCTTCTACTGTCTTCTCCCTGGGCTCCTTGAGAGCTGCAGAAGGAGCCTTTAGAGATGAGCCAGCCCAACTCTCTCGTCTCTCAGGTGGGGGCTTAAATCTACTTTCTCCATCCCAGAGAACATCCTAGGATATCCTTGCATCACATTCTCTAACTGTGTTCTTGGTTGGGAGAGCCAAGGCTGGTTTATCCCTTGTTTATGTTTTTTTTTCTTTCTTTCATTCTCTTCATAGCTCATGGTTTTGAGCCTCTGTGAAGCAGTGAGATACATGCAGAAGATATGAGTTTACAGAGGCCTAGTTCCTGCTCTGGAGGACCTTAGAGTCTAATGAAAGAGACTGAAAAATAAAGTATATTGAGATAGCCTAAAGTCAATATTGTGCTGGAACCCATGAGGAGCAGCGAGGTGCTGTGGGAGCCGGAAAACCAGTTCATCATCTACCTCTGCCACCCTGCAATGTGACCTTGGCTAAGTTAATTAACATCCCTGAGACTCAGTTTCCTCATCTGCATAATGGTAATAGTCATTGCCACCAGATAGATTTATCATGAAAATTAAATACGACAATCTATGTCAAGAACCTAGAGAAGTACCTGACATGGGCAGGAGTCAATATTTAGGGGCTGAGAGCCCAAGAAAATAGGACCAACTTCTCTCATATTTTAAAGTGGGGAGTGTACCCCTGAGGTCCGGGACTTAAGGGACTGAGACCCTGCCTGACACATTTCAGCTGACTGTTCTCCTTCAGTGGATAAGAGGCTGGGAAACCAAAGAGCAAAAGATTCTTTGAGGAACAGTGTTGGTGTGCTGTGGATCCCACCTCCCCTCCCAAGCCCCCAAGCCCCACGCCTTCCCACCTCTACATGTGCAACTGTGGGAGAAATGAGGAACTTGAAGACCTTGAGAGAAGTGAAGGACTTGTGTCTCTCTGACCCCACATCTCGCGAGCTTCCTGGAACACCTCCTATGTGACCTCTGAAGCTGGGAGGTCACAGAGGCTGCCATGAAATGTGCTGTAGGGATCATAGTTGCAGTTTCCATGCCAGGGCACAGTGAGGTAGCCAGCCACTCCAGGGCCAGCCTGGGTCACATCTGCAAGCTCTGGTGAAGCAAAGACTGAGTGAGAATGCCCTGAGGTTCAGAAGTGCCTGGAAGAGATGCTACTTGGAGTTGTCTCGTAGTCTGTCCAAAGGGGCCACCCCAAGGCGTGAGGGGCTTCATAGGCTCCCTCATGCCCAGAGCAAAAAAACCTGAAAGTGAGAGGGACCAGGAAATGGGAGGGTGGCTGGAGAACTCCGAAGAAGCCTCCAAAATGCTTCAAGGGAAAAAGTGAGTCCTGTGATCGAGGCCCAGCGAGCAGCATGATGGCAGCATCTAGAAGACCTTTCCTTCCCTTACTCTCCTCTCTACTCCTTTTCCCGCACCCAGGCACAGAGGGCAGGAGAGGCAGAGGCAAGGCAGAGGGCGTAAAAGGAGCTCCCCCAGCCCCAAACGTACCCAGGCCAGAGAGGGAGAAAGAGCTAGAAACTCAGCTGCACGTGCTTATTCCTGAACTGAGGCTGTTAGGATATTTCGTTGAGTGTAACCAAGGTCATGGGACTTTGTGGGGATTTTGTCCAGGGACAGTGGTGAACTTACCGTTAGAGTTTGCTCTGTCAAACCCCAGATCTTGCGCAAACTGCTCTCTGAGCCTGAATATCCTCATCTCCTGTCACCTAGCAAAAGAGCCAATGGTCACCTTCTGAGAAGCCATCATTTCTCACTTTATTGAGACATATGTGGCACATAAACTGCTTATGTGCTTAAAGTCTGTGATGTCTTGAAGTGATCTATATGAATTGTCCATTGATTGATCACCAGTCAAGTTAATTAGCATAACCATCACCTTCTATAGTTACCTTTATTTATTATTTATTTATTTGGTGAGAGCAGTTAAGATCTGCTCTCATTTACCATTGCAGATATGATTAACTACAATCACCATGCTGTGCTTCAGAACTTATTCATCTTGTAACTGAAAGTTTGTACCCTCTGGTCAGCATCTCCCCATACCTCACCCTGTGACCCCTGAGCACACCATGTAGAGGCTCTTTCTTGATCCTGCCTCCCCGGCTTTCCTTTGTGAGGAGACTGGAAGTGCACCTTTTTACTTCCAAGATGATGGTGCCCACCAGTGCTCCAGCTGTGGAATGGCAAGCTTCGATTACCACAGGTATGTAGATGTAGGTACAGATATATTTCATTACCACACAGTGTTTGTTGTTTCCAAATCAGTTTGACTGAGACCTAATGTGATCAAAAATAACATATACTCACTTAAGTTTGGAGAGTTTTGACAAACATAGAAACCAGTTTAATGAGTACCAGAATCAAAATGACACATTTCCTTCACCCCACATGTCCCTATGTGCCCCTCCGTGGTTAATGCTCAGCTCCTGCCCTGCCCCATGCAGTTTCTGGTGGCCTCTCTGTCACTAACCCTGGGATATTTCTCTCCTGGGGCCTCACAGATATGGAATCCCGCATGAGAATTCCATTTTCATCAAAAGCAGTCTGTCGAGATAAGAAAACACCATTTTCCCTTAGAAAATCAATTTAGAACATGAGATTTTTCACCTTCTAACAAGGAAACAGAAGTTCCTTGTCTCTAGGAAGTACACACACTGGAATATAACCTCTCTCACATGATCCAATTAGCTCCAAATCTGTGCCTCCTTCCTTACCATGCCTCCTCTAATTTATCTCTTTCTATTTTTCCTTTAATGCCCTACTTATTTTGCTCAGATATGAGAATACCATTGGCATTCTGCTTGTGCTCATTTCTAATTTCCTCTAATTTTTGGATATAAATTGATTTTTTTATGGGCTAATATGTCTTCAAGATTACTGTGGTCAAGTTTGGTATTCATTGATCTCAACTGTTTTTTCATCCATTGGGCAGAAAGGCCCAGATCCTAAGTGGATGAAAGGAACACTGGCTTTCCATTCACCATTGAGTGGGGTTGTATTTATTGCTTTCTCTTCCACCCTTCTTTGTCACCCACCTGTGGGATCTTCCACATTCTTACAATCCTTAAGCCAGCCCCACCCCACTGTTCTGTCTGTGGCTCTGGGCAGGACAGCAATGGTATGTGCCAGGGTGACTGACCCCAGAGATAATCTGGATCCCTGATTTTGGCACCGTCTGTGGACAGAGAAGTCTGCAGACAAAACTGGCCAGCTAAGGGGGCCCCCTCATCCCCCAGCCCCTCAGCCTGAGTTGGAGGAGTCCCTAGAGAGCTTCGTGCTCTGCATCTCTTGGAGTGCTCGGCCCCTAAGGCCTCCACACTGGGCACAAGGGGCCCTAGCGATAGAGATGGGACACAGGCAAGACAAACGCCGGCCTCATGCCCATCTCTGCTCTGTTCTGTCCAGCTCAATCTGAGCATTCTGCTGTTGGCAATAACCTTAGTTCAAAGACATTTTGGCAACCAGCGCAGTATTCCTGTTTTGTAGTTAGTTGCTGTCTTAGTCACTTTCTTGTCACTGGGATAAAACACTCAAAGTGCCAAACTTATTTTGTCTCAGGGTCTCAGTCCATGGTCAGCTGGCTCCAAGGCAGAAACAGGATGGCAGAGGGGCCTGGTGGAGGAAAAGGTGTTCAACGCATGGCAGACAGGAAGCAGAGAGGGAAGGGAGGAGCTCACCCTGAAAGACAAGAACTCACCCTTCAGGTGACCTCTCCAGTGACCCATCTCCAACCAGGTCCCACCTGCTAACAGCACCTGACCTCATCAATGGATGAATCCACTCCTGAGCAGAGCACCCCTCTATCCGTCACCTTCCATGCATGAGAATTTGGGGGACGCCATTCACCCTGATGGAGCACACAGGCGGAAGTCAGCTTGCCTCTCCATTACCATCCGGCAGATTCCCACTATGTGGCCTAACTCTGGCCAAGACCTTGGGCACTACACCCATGCACGCCTGCCCTGAACTGGGCCAGACAGATTCTCTTTCCTGGAACTTTTGGAATTGGGGTCAAGAGGGAGTGCTGGTCTGTTTTTCTGTCACCTAAGGAAACATGGGACAGTTAATACTTTTGGGGAGGAGAGAGAGCCTGCTATGGAAATTGAGGAACTAGCCTTTTAGACAGATCCAGATACAAGTGGAAGGGTGGGGAATATGAAGGAAAGATTGAGGAGAAGGAGGGAGAGAGGAAGGGAGAGAGAAAGAGAGAAGAGCAGGGAAGAGGGGAGGGAAGAAGTGAAAAGAAGGGAAAGCAGAGGTGGGGAGAAGAGAGGAGAGGACAAGAGGAGAGAAGAGAGGTCTTGCAGGTTCTGCTGGGTTTCAGTTCCTGGTGTCAGCCCAGTGTCCTTTGTGTGTTAGTTTCTAAGTGATATTCCTCTAATCTTGAATACACTTCCTGTTTTTGCTTGTGGTAACTTGGGCAGTTTCTTGTCAATTTATAGTCAAATGAACCCTAAATAATATGCACTCTGGTCCTCAGAGAAATGAAGCTAAGATAACCACATATCTGACCCATTTTGGGGCAGAGACAATAGGCTGCCACTGTGCTAGGCGGGAAAGCTGGCACCCACCAGGCGCACATAGACGGAAACCGCTGCTGAGAGGACTGCCTGCTGCACTTTGGAACCGGGACCATTTTTTTACTGAGATCGAGGCTTTAGGGGCCAGAAAGGCTGTGCAGAAGGGTGTGAGGTGTGGGGTGCGCAGAGGTCAAGTCTGCAGTTGTCTGGGTAAAGTGGATTGGGACAATCAGGTAGTTGCACAACCCTGTGCTTGCAATCCTTTTTGGGTACTGGTGTAGGGTCAGAGACCACTTCGAGTCCACTCCGGAAGCTAATCACAGGCTGAGGTGCAGCAGTTACACTGCAGCAACCTACATCGGGAACTAAATTTGGTGCCCCAATTATGAAACAGAGAGGTTCTGGCAACTGAAACAAGGACATGGGGAAGGTCTGGAGGAACCATGGTCCTTCCCAGCTGCCTCCCAGCTGCCTGAAGAGCACTCTTGCTGAGCAAGGGTGGGGTGCTCCTGCCCTGAAGCACACCTCAGGGTCTGGTTTGGGACTCTGCAGAGCTGACAAGGCGGAGATAGAAATTTCTGCTGCTGCCCTCAATACCCTAAGGCAAAACCTATTATGTGGAAGACATAGAAACAACCCTCAGGCTTTCTTCTAAGAGCCTGAAGCCCACAGGCACGATGATCCAGCTCAGATGCTGAGCTGAGCAAGCTGTCTAGAGCCGGCTTTCTGCAAACACAGTTTCTCTAAGTTAAATCGACGGGCTGCCAGTTAAGATTTTACAGGTGTTGTGCCACCAAGAAAACCCGTGAGCCTGGAGAATGGGGTCTTTACATTAGCACAGGTCAGCATCCCGGGGCATCTTGGGGTGCTGGTGGCCACAGGTCCCCCATCAACCACAGTGCCCTCCCAGAGTGGCCCTGAAGGACCCTGGACAAGAGGATGTCCCTCTGGGCAGAGCCTAGAGCTCATTCCAGATGTCAGCAGGGGTCACCCTGTGATGGTCATGAGGTTTGTCAGGTGTCATCCAGGAGAAGCCCGCACTTCCTGCCAGTGACGCCCACGGGCTGCTGGCTGGGTGGCCCCTTCCTTCTTGCAGCTCAGCCAGCCCTTCTCCCCAAGTGCTGTGTGGTTTCCTCTGGAGAATGGACCCTTGGAGAGTAAGCTGGGGAGCAAGGAGCCCCGCCTGGGATGGGGGCCTCAACCCTGTGCCATGGACAGGAGCAGGAGCCCATTGCTGGCAGATGCGGCTGTTTCTATGACCAGTGGGATGATCCCGGGCTCTTGGCCTGGGCAGGGTTGGTTATATTTGTTTTCCTGGGAAGTTTGAATTGGATTGAAGAGACAGTTAAGGTGTAGCCTGACTACAAAAGACACCAGTGCCACCAGAAGGCAGTGGCAGCCCTGCCTGTGGAGCAGGCAGCTTTGTAAAGAGGGGTGGAGGAGACAGATGGAGGGATAAAGAAAGGGAGAGAGCATACACAGATTGCTGACTGCTTTCCTGACCTGTTTCTCAGGGGAGACCCTCTGCATTGGGTTCCATGAAGCAGTTCTGACTCTTTCTTTGTAACCAGTGTAGAGTTTGTGAACAGAAGCACAATTTTGCCCAATGCTTCTGTGTAGAACCAAATGGTTCCTGAGTGGAAGTGTTCATGAACCGAGGCACCATTGTATTTTAGAATAATCATAAATTTGGAAGAATTTACAAAGAGCCCAGAGAGGCCCCATGTGCACAGAAAGGCACACAGTTTCCCCCATGGTTGGAGTTTACGTCACTGTAGCACAGTACCAAGACCAGGAAACTGATGGGGGCATGATGTGTGTGCCAGTTTACTAGGTCTGTGGGTCAGTGCCACAATCGGTTTAACCTGGGAAACTACCAGTCCATTTTCCACCTCTTTAACCCTGCCACTTTGTGATGATTCTATACATAGAATCAAACAGTTTGTGAACTTTTCAGTTGGGCCCCCAAGGTCCCCAGCACAATTCTCTAGAGATCCAATTGCATTACTGCATCAAGAACCCATTCCTTTTTGTTGTGAGTAGTAGTGAATGATCAGGACATGCCAGTTTGTCCCTACTGAGGGACATCTTGATTGCTTTCATTTGGGGGCTGTTATGAACAAAATTGCTACGAACATTTGTGTCCAGGTATTGTTAGAATATGAGTTTTCATTTCTCTCAGAATGGTGCTCAGGAGTGCAGTGGTTTGATCATCTGGCAAATATGTCTTTAGCTATTGGAGAAACCACCAGGGCGTTTTCCAAAGCAGCTGTACCATGTTATAGTCCCACCAGTGGTGTGTGAGAGATCTAGCTCTCGCTCCTCCTCATTCTCTCCTGAATTTGATGTTGTAGCTGTTTCAGTAAGTATGTAGTGATACCTTGTGCAGTCTTAGCTTGTACTTACTTCCTGGCTAGGAAAGTTGAATGCCTTTTGCTGTGCGTATTTGCAGTTTGTATATCTTCACTGATGAAATGCTTCTTTACACCTCTTGCCCATCTTCTAAGTGGATTCTGTGTTTTAAAATATTTTACTGTTAAGGTTTAATATACACGCTCTTGTTTTTTAAACAAATTTGGGGGTTTTTTTGCTTTTGGTACCAGGGATCGAACTTGGGGTCTTGCGCTTGCGAGGCAGGTGGTGGAACCACTGAGCTAAATCCCTGGCCCTTTTTAAACAAATGGGCTTCTGTAACTTGCAACCTAAGGCTCATAGGTGGTCTTCTTTGTATTTAGTGTTGATCACAATAGTAGCTGACATTTACTGAGCCTGTATTGTGTGTCAGGCACTGTTCTAAGTGATCGGTAGGTCTTAACTCACTTAACAAGTGTTACTTTTATAAATATCAAATGTTGTTGTTACTAACCACCATTACAGTTTAGTTTATAAGTCTCATTTTCAGCATAAACAAATAGCTTGGGCTTCCAGCATTGCTTCCATTTGAGTTGACTGAGTTACGTTTCACTTGGTTGAGAGAAAATCTAAGGCGCTGATATCACAAGGGCTCATGAGTCAGAAGAGCTTCTCTTCTGGTGAAATAAGTGCCCATATTTAAAAAAGTGACATCATGCACACCGGTTTTTCTATGTGTTAAGCAAATAGCTGACAATGTTCAGTTTTACAAATTTTACATAAGAAAGCCTCCCAAGATTTATTTTTCTCTTAAAGGGAGAAAACAAACACCCACTTATGTTATATCAGTTTTACAAATCACAGCTGTGCAAGTGAAAGAGGCACCTGTGCACTGATCAGATCCTGGATTGGGGGGTAAGGCTCGGACCCCAGAACCCCCAGGGCTGGAAAGAGATCAAAACCTCCCCAAGGCTCCCGGTGATGACTGACACCTGGGTCCCTCACCGGAACTACCAGGGTCACTGGCAGGGCCCCTTTGGGGCTGCACCATCTCCCTGTGCCCCAGGGATTGTGAGTGTAAGCGATTCCAGGGCGTCAGCTCACCAAACAGTGACTGTGCTTGGATCCCTGCTCAGAGATGAATGAGTCCGGTCCCCCTGGTGCAGTCAGGCAGAACGGGGGGATTCAGGGTCCAAGTGTCACCGCCACAGGGTAGTTGGGGCTGTTAGAGGTGGCACCGTGGAGCTGATGGTGCAGATCCACAGACAGGCCCAGCTGCTGCCCCTAGGCCCATCCCAGCGCTGACTTGGCAGGTGCAGGTAGGGACAGCCCTGGCCACCTGCCTTTCTCAGCTGGGCTCCAGGGCGCTTTGGACACAGTCTTGCCTCCTCCTTTGCTCTGTCTGCTCCCTGATGGGAATCCTATCCCTCTGAGGCTCCTTCCTTTGACCTTGCTGATTTCTTTGGTGAGTTTGGTCTCTCCTCACTCTTTGTCCTTTGGACTTGCTGTGAGACACATTTTCCTATAATAACTATTTCTTTCCTGGTCTCATCGCTACTTTAAGCTGTTTTCTGACACCTCTGGGAAGCCCCTGAGACTCAGCAATCCGGTAGACTTCTGGATGGTGGCTCCTCCCAGTTTGCCTCACTCCCTCTTTTTCCAGCATTATTTTCCCTCCCCTACACCCCAAGTTCAAATCTCAGCATCACCTCTCAACAGGAGGCTGTTGGTGGGTGACCTTTCCCATCTGAGTCTGTTTCTGTTGTAAGTGGGGTGTGTAATCTCTTTACAGTTTACTGATTGTGTTTGTGTATTGCCCTCCACAGCCTGGCACTCAAACAGCTAGATAATTCTAGAAATGGAGCAGCTCTCCTCATGTCTCTTCTCTTTCTCCTCAGTCTCTACTCTCAGGTAGTGATGTCCTGTCCCCCTCCACCCCATTTCTTTTCTTGACCTCACCCTTCTTTCCAGCAGGATTAGGACCAGAGCTTCCCTCCCCTAGTAGCAGAGGCTCTCTGATTGGCTGCTGTCACCATGGCAACCCACTGTCCCACTCCCGGCCCTCCCTTTGCAGAGCCAGCAGATCTGTGGAGTTCAGGCTCCTGGGCCTGGGAGGGACAAGAGGCTGGGGGAAGGGCGAGGGCTCCCTTGAGAGCCGGGGCAGCCCCACATTGGGGGTTTGCTTGGATTCCAGATTCTAGCCTCCTATGCAGTATGGCTTCTATCATCTTACATATTGAAGGGATTGCCTCTCATACCCGTAGGAGCTTCTGATTCCCTCTAAAACGGGCCAGCTTGGCCTCCAGGGTCCTGGGCTGGTGGCATGTGGCAGGCATAGAAAGTGTGCTAAAGGCACTCTCTGAATGTCAAACAGAATGTGCTCCTTCTGTTGCCTGCAGAGCTGCAGAGGGGAGGGCATGAGAACATCTGGATGTGCTGTGAAGCCCTGAAGGCAGGCAGGGTTACACCTTATTCTGGCTACTGCCAGACAGCCTGATGGGTTAAGTCCGCACACAGAGACCTTCTGCGGAACACAGGGTGCTAGGCAGTGGGATGGGGTCGGTTTGCCGGCTGGGGGTAGGGCAGGACAGGGGCTGTGACTTGACTTACTCCTGAGCATGCAGGGGGATTGCATCCATGGTTTCTACATGCACTGGTTGCCACTTTTAGATGCTCATGAATGCTATTGTGCTACTACTAATAATAATTTTAAAGCGTGGCTAAATTCACAGTAACTCTTTGTCCTTTTAGGTCTTTATGACCTCAGTCAGCAGGGTGTGTGTGGTAGAGGTTGAGGATCCATGACATTGAGTGATATTGAACAAGCCTTAAAAAGGATGACAAGATGGGATTATGAAGCACGCTACAACATGGGCGAAACTGGAAGACATCGTGCCATGGGAAAAAGCCCAACACTAAAAGACAAATACTGTGTTGTACTTTAGATTTAAAATGTCCTCTCAAAGTCACATGTGTTCAGACCTGGGGCTTTTGAAAGGGGATTGGATCGTGAGGGGCACTATGTCCATCAGCAGATTAATCCACTGATGGCTTTCTAGCTGAATGTGCTGTGAGGAAGAGGGGCCAGGTAGAGGACATGCCTTCAGAGGGTGCATCATGCTCTGGCCCTTCCCACTCTCTCTGTTTCCTGGGTGTCATGGGGTGAGCAGCTTTCCTCTGCCACACCCTTCTTCCATACCATTTCAGCCCTGGAGCCAGCCAGATACGGACTGGACCCTCTGAAACCATGAACTGAAATAACCCTCCTTTAAGTTGCAGGTGTCAGGTATTTTGTCCCAGCTGTGTGAAAATGACTAATAAGACCGTAATACTCCACTCATAGGAGGTGTCTAGAATAGGTAAATTTATAAAGATGGAAAGTAACTAGAGGTTACGGGAAAGAGCAGTTATTGTTTCACTGTTACAGATGTCAGTTAGAGGAGATAAAAACATTCTGGGGATGGATGTGTGATGGTTGCATGGGAACGCAGCTAACTGACAGACACTTACCTAGCATGCCAAGCATGTTCCATCGATCCCCAGTGCCACACATGCATAAAATGGTTAAAATGGTAGCTTTCATCTTATGCATGCTTTGCCACAATTACACGCTCCCAGGGAAGTGGAGTGAATCGAGGCTGGATGGTGGAGTGAGGAGCTGGCAAGTACAGGGAGGGAGGCTTCAGCCAGGTGGTGACCTGCAGGAGGGGACCTTCCTCTGAAGGGCGCCTCCTCCCTCAAGTGCCAACCTCCTGTCTCCAGCCCATGCACCGAGGGTGAGCAGCTGGCTTAGGCCACATCAGGGTTTCCCTTGTTCCCTGGGGGGACTGAAGAGGCCACGATGGGTGACCCATCCCCTGTGCTCATGATTCCCAGCTTTCAGGATCCACCCAGGCGAGGACCAATCTGCTGTCCTACCTGTGGCTCCTCCTGGCCGGCCCTGCCTGGCTGAGCAGGCTGTGAGGACAAACTAGTGCTTCGTGAACGCCACAGTAGAGGCATGGTGGCACCTGTGTGAGGGCAGCTGGAGGGGTTCCCACTGTCCTGAGACCCCTATGTGGCGCCCGCACGGCTCTAGGTCTGGGGTCCCTGCAGCCCCTCTCTGCCTTCTCAGTCCCTCTTCAACCCTCCCAGCCCTTCTGACAGAGCTGGAAACGCACACCAAGCCCTCTGGGAAGCTATTTTGAGTTTTCATCTGTTCTCTCTCATTGCTCCTCTAGATTCCATATTCTCCCACCCCCAGATTTGAGAGAGCTGAAGATTCTCAAAGTCATTCACCATTCCCCCAGCTCACAAGCTGTGCCTTCCCCCGACCCCCCCTTCGCGGTACCACTCACTCCTTCTTCCCATCCTCATTCTTTACCTCTCCGGCAGGCTCTTTGTCTGACATCATCTTCCACTCCCTGGCCTGCTAAGAGTTACTCAGGCAATCCCTGCTCCACCAGAGGAGACGTCCAATTGCCAAGCAACCCACCATCGGCCAATCAGGGAGCTTGGAGGTGATGTCATGGCGAGAGCTGAGCAGTGGTGCTGATGTTGAAAGAAGCCCAGGGTACCACTAATTGAGGGAGTGAGAAGAGAGCAGCTCGCTCCGAACTGGACTGAAGGTAAGTGGAGATGAGATGTAAATAACGGGAGGCTTTTTAAGAGAAAGAGGGAAGCAAACCACAGCCACATAGGGGAGAGGGGCAGAGCCTGGAGGCCTTTGTGTTATCTTTGCTTCCACTCAATCATTAAACTTTGTCAAACCCTGGGGGAAGGAGGGTGAGGCAGGAAGGATGGTGCTGGGCAGAGGGGAGAGGGTGGGCTCTGGGTGGCACTTTTGTTCCAGAGCTCAGAGAAGAGAATGGGTGGGAATAGCAGGGGTGCATGCTGAGTTATTTCTGTACGAAGACGTTTTGTTGCTGAGGGAGAGAGGTTTTTCAAGTGCTTGAAGGTGGACCTGACCCAAACCCCCTTTCAAGCTGGAAGCTGCCCTGTGTTTGATGTTTTCAGCTGCTTTTGTCTCTCCCGCTTTGGTCACCTGTCTTTGCTTTCCCCTCCATCCCTCCGCTGCCTTACTTTTTCCTCTGCGTCCTAAGGACACAATGAGATCATCACCTCTCACTGGCCCCGCCCCTCTCGGAGGTTGACCTGATGCTACCTGGTGGGGCAGGCGGCTCTAAAGCTGAGGCTGCAGGAGCACAGAGAGCCACACCCTGGTCCTCTATGGGGCCAGGGACAGGCCCTCTTCCCTTAGCCCCACCCTCACTAGGGGTTTAGGCATCGTCCTTTCTGATCCTGGGACCCAGGGCTTTGATGTCCAGTGGGAGCTCTGTCCCCACGTGGAGGTGCTGCCTTTGTTTTATTTCTCTCAGGAGGACACAGGCAGGTGTGGAGGAGCCTCATTGTCCCAAGCCTGAGCAGGTCTCCAGGGGGCCTTGAGAGTGGTAGTGGGTGTTGGATACGTCCAGGCCACCCGTGTCTGAATAATCCAGGCAGGGATAACCTGTGTTCAGGGGCCAAGAGAGCCCTAGGTGAGGGTGGCCAGAGGTGGCCTGCTGGAGTCCCGAGGGCTGGTGGGGGGCAAGGAGGAATGTGGGGGAATCTGTCTCCATGGAGGCTGAGCCCCTCCAGGGGGAGGAAACTCTTCCAGGTGGTGCCAGGGGGAATGAGATCATACGTCAGATGTGGAAATAATCACAGTGCTGGAGTGGAACGAAAGCAGAGGGGGCAGGTCTGATCCGCAGCTCCACAGACAGGAGCGGGAGCCTCCAGCCCTGGCGTGGCTTCCGGCTTGTCCAAGCCCTCTCCAGGCTGCTAGGAGCTGTCAGTCCCCTCCGAGCTGCCCAGGTCCTGCCAGCTGGTCCCAGACCTGGAGCCTTCCCAGCTCCACCCAGCCTTACCTGGAGCAGCTTTGCAGGGAAAGTGGTGGGTTCCTCATGCAGCATCAACCTGTGGGGAGTGAGTTCCCCTTCACTAAAGGGTTTCAAGCAGAAGCAGGAGGACCACCCAGCAGGGAGGCAGTCAAAACCATTTCTGCATTGCTCTGGAGATCCATCTAGACTAGTGTTCTCCAAATGATGGGTGGAGATCACTTAGTAGATTGTGAAATCAATTTTATGAATTGCAACTTTAAAAAAAATAAAATAATAGTAGAAAAACTCAGAATACATCCTATATAATGGGCAAATTACATTTTATGTACCTTTTTTAGTTACATATGTTCAGTAATGTGTATATTTGTGTGTATATGCGGATAGCTGTATATGGGTCTCTCCTGGAGCATGTAACATGAAGCATAATTGTTATTGTTGGTCCCAGTCAAAAACATTGAGAAACATCAGCTATGTGAACTCTACTTACCTCTCCTAAACTTAGGGCTGTATGTCTATGTAAAACTCTCATGGAACTTTAAAAATTCTTAATATTTTACTGTGATAAAATGTAAATAACATAAAATTTACCATCCTAGTTATTTTTTAAGTATACAATTCAGTGGTACTAAGATGCACATTGCTGTGTATCCAATATTCAGAAGTCTTTTATCTTACAAAATTGAAAGTCTGTATGCATTGAACTCCACTCCCTGTTCCCCACCCCAGCCCCAGTGACCTCTGTTCCTACTTCTGCCTCTATGCATCTGATCACTCTAGATGCCTCTGTCAGTGGGATTGTGCAGCGTTTGTCCCTTTGTGACTGGCTTACGACACTTGACATAATGTCCTCTAGGCTCATCTCTGTTGTAGACTGTGTGTCCCCACTACCAGGTACAAAATGGTATCCAAAAGTTACATTTAAATCCAAATAACTGTTTTAAAATGGGAGACTTTAGTGAGATACTGTGTTCTAAAGAACCTGTGAAAGGTAGAGGATTTTGGTCTAGCATTATCCATCCCGAGCAGACTGTTTAACATACCTACAACGGTCCCCTCTTACCCATGGCCTGGTTTTGTTTCTGTTATGTGTGGTCGACTGCATCTGAAAATATTAAATGGAGAATTCCAAAAATAAGCAATTCATGAGTATTAAGTAAATTAATCAGGATATTGTTATAATTATGCTACTTATTACTAATTATTGTTAATCTCTTGTGATGTCTTATTTATCAATTAAATCTTACCATAGGAATGTATAGGAGAAAATATAATATATACAGAATTCAGCATAATCTGGGGTTTCAGGTGTCTGCAGAACACCCTGGGTGTATCTTCTGCTGACAAGAGGGACCTCCTGGACACATCCTGCTGGTGAAGGGGTAGTGGGAGGGCCATGCACTGTGCTTTGGTGGACGATCAATATCTAGATTTCATTTGGGCTCAATAAAAGGAGCCCAAGGGCCAAAGCAAGGCTGCCCACCTTCCCCAGCTTCCCTAGGCCATTTGCTTGACACAAAGGAAGTAGACAGACTGGCAATATTGAAAACACAACAACAGAGATTGACAAACTAAAACCCAAAGAATAACAGCTCAACAGGAAAGAGGGGCATGGAGAAAAGAAAATAAGGCAAGTGAGAGAGTGATACAGAGAAGAGGAGCTGATATCTGCAATAAACCAGCCATACTGAAAGAAAAGGAAAATTCAGATGTTCTGTGTTCTTGGTTTTAAATACTAGGATATTTAAATATCAAGATCATATCCAAATAAAAGCTTAATTTTTCTAGAACCCCTAAGATTATATCTTCTACACCCTTTTTGATGTGTGTGTGTGTGTGTGTTATTGGGGATTAAACCCAGGGTCTTCACACTGAACCACACCTACAGCCCTTTATTACAGTTGTCTTTTTGAGGGGGAGGGGTAAAGTAATGTAAGAGGAATTGTGATATCCATAATATAAATTTATAATGCCCAATACAGAACCAACCCCTCCTTTTTTATCTAGAGAGATAAAGGTGTATCATGATTATCTGGTTTGCTTATTAAGTTAGCATATGCTATGTTTAAAAATGTAGTAGTCCAGGAAAGGTTGTTTCTTTCTTTCTTTTTTTTTTTTTCCCGTTGGGGTGTGGTAAGCACTTCACACAAAATCTCCCTTGGTATTTTATAAAATCATTCTCCTAGGTTCCCACATTTCTAGTTCTAATAGGCAGACAGGAGGATGTACAGATAAAGCCTCCACACACATGTTGCTCCCACTTTTCCCCCTACACACACACACACACACACACACACACACACACACACACACACACACACGTTGGCCCTGTTCTTCCCCACCAAAGCCCAGAGCTCATTGATCCTTCCCATCAATTAGAGCTATGTCCCTCCCTTAGGACCCTGCTGTTCCAGGGCATGGTAGGAGGCAGAAAAATGGTACAGATCATAGGGGCAGGAGCCTAGGCTGGCCAGCCTGATTTATCAGGCAGGTCAAGAATTCAGAGAACAGGTTGGAGAATAAGAATCCAGAGGTCAGAGCTGAGCACAGACTCAGAAGGAAGGGGTCAGGCAGATATTTGTGTTTTAGTGGATCATCTGGAGATCGGTGTCCAGAAATTCAGACCAAACAGGGAGGCAAGTTCAAGCTGAGCCTGGAGAAACAGCTGGGCCCAGAGCAGTCCGTTTCAGGCCAGGGCTGAGACACAAGCACAGCCCAGCTGCTGAGCCTGGATAGGGCTGTCTGTCCTCTGTACCTGCCACCAGATCAGACACAACAGGACTCAAGAGCACATCGTGAGTCCTTCCTGGGGTGGGAAAAGAAATTACTCCAGATACGCTAGCTAGCCAAAAAATTATCAGAGTAAAAAGCTCAGGCACAAAAAGGATATGTTATCAATAATGGCCATAAACAAAAAAACACTAGCATTTAATCATTGTCTAATTATAATCAATGCACTTATAAGACTGTATGCAAATGTCAACTAAGGCTAAGGAATATGCTTATTAAGCTCATCACTGTGTTCCTACTTCCATTCCTCCGGCATAGAGTAGGTTCTCAACAAATATTTATTGAATGAAAAATGTATTGAAGAGATCAATAATGATAACCTGGGGCTGAAAATCTGGTTCATTCTCACAAAACCATGTTCATAGAGAAAGGAAGTAAAAATTTGCTAAGTCTCACACAAAGAAAATCCTTGTACCATTTTATATAGTGAACATGGCTAAAAATAATTTTGACTTAAAGCTAAAATTAAAACTAATATGTAAAAGTGTAAAAGCATTGGTGAAGAATGAAAGAACGAAGAAATCAAATGCAATATTGCAAAGGATAAGGGATTCTTTTCAGTGCAGTTCAGTGTGGGTCAGAAGCCCAGTTCCGCTCTTCCTCTGAGAACTCAGGTGAAGCCCTGGGCTGCCAGGGCCCTCTGCCTCCTCATCTGAAAAGAGGTAGGAAAAGAAATTCTAGAAGGAAATTCCATGGCTTTGTCCATCTCTGGGACTGCAGCATGACAGAGAGCATGACTCTCTGGAGATGTCTGCACATCTTACTACTTGTTCTCTGCTGCTGTGAACATGACTCAGTTTATTACACTTGGTAAATCATCAGTGTACTTTGTTTTCAGTGCTGAGGAATTAACCCAGGGTCTTGTGCATGCTGGAAAAGCACTCTGACACTGGGCTTTGCCTGGAATCTTTTCTGTTTCTGTGACATGTGGTCTCATGAAGTTGTCCAGGCTGGACTCACAC